CCCCCCCCCCCCCCCCCCCCCGTAGTGAAGACGTAGCCTAAATCTCTAAATAAGTGTCCTTGGTGCTGAGTGCCTGCAGATCCCATTAAGGGCTGTCTAGATTTGGGCACTTTAGGCACTGCTGGTTGAAGGGCTGGCCTAAGTACCTGACAGCATCCCAGAGCCACATTTCCAGTGTAATGGATCAGTGATGTAATGCAAGCAGTAGTAATTCACAGGGGTGACAGCATTAAAGGCTATGGAGCACAGCAGCATGCCCAGAGACCCAGACTTGCTGGCCATGCTTGCAATGCTTCTAGCCCTCTGGCCACTGCCTGAGCCCGCCTTCCAGCAGGGCTTCACATGGGCAGCTCCAAGGTCTTTTCATCTAAAAGTCAGGAGGAACCTGTTTGAGCCAAGGCATCTTGCCAAGCACAGGATTCTGCTGAGTGCGAAAAAGCATTTCCAAGCATGGGACAAACCAGGGCCTGGATTTGCTGCAAGGTCTCCGGTCACTCTAAAGTCACTGGTACAGCACTGGTGGAAGCCGTCCTGCTGAGCAGTGACATTTGGGACATCATTACTGAGGGATCCCAGTGTCAGGGGCAAAGCCCCTGCTACTGTCGCTATACAACACTTGACACTGAGGCAGAAGGGGCTATAGAAACACGGCACCCTGTTCCATTTTACTGGCGGAGAAACTGACAACCAGTAGGCTACAGTGGTGAATCAACCTGAGCAGTGACCTGCAAAGGCACTCCCTGATGGCTTCACACTGTGACCACTGAAGGCACTGGTAAAACTCACCCAGTTCCATGAGAGGAGAGTGGGGGCAGTGGTGAGCGCTTGTGAATCCCGCCCCCCTAACATTTCTAATTCCAGACCGTGCTGGTAGGTGAACGGACGCTAACGGCGTATGGAGCCTGGCTTACTGAACTCTAACACTGGGCTCCCACGCTTCGGCCAGGAATGCAATTCTCCGCCAGCTTTCATCAAAGAGCTTTCCAAGTATATTCCATGGTGGGAAGATCCCCAGGACAGGATTTTCAGAGCCCCACGCAAAGCAGCTCAGCCTCCCTTTGAAAACACAACCCCTGTGTAAGGCCTGGCGCTGGTTCAGCCATGAGCGAACCGTGACCCAAAAGAAGTGCTGTGTTGGTCTGGGATTGTAGCCTGTTTTCCCTGGGGGTGGGGAGCTGTCGAGGAGAACTGTGCCATCTACACCATTAACAGACTTCAGTCCTGAATCGAAGGGTTTGGTCACAGGCACAGGGACTGTGGCTGCCATCCAGCATGCTGGGCTTTGCACACTCACCAGAAGCCTGGCAGTGAATCACTAGAATATTGGCCATTTCTGCAAACTTGACACTGGAAGGATTCTTCTTGATCTCTTTAAGGAACTCCCCGAGGGCCACCTCACACCTGCAGGTCGGAAGGACACCCAGTTAAGAGATTCGTTCTTAGCCTACAGAGCACAGGGACACACACACCCCAACCTTCCTGGGTACATATGAACTGACACCAAGAGCCCAGCATCCCCAGTTACATGCACAGACTCACTGCAGCTATCTTCTGACACTGGTCAGCACTCATCCCAACAGGGGGCTTGAGCGTTTCCAACGTCGGGCACATGCCTGTGAGTTACCCACACTCAAGTTAACTCCCCTTGAGTTAGGCCCAGCTTGAGAGAGAGCAGCCACACTACGAACCAACACTGGCTGCACCGACCAACTGTTAGCTGCACAGACCAGCTGCGTCCCCACCGCATTACTGAGCTGCAGCAGCGTTTAACCTTCAACCCACGTCCCCTGCCAGGCCAGCTAGCTTGAATTTACAGCACCCCTGAGCTCAAGATGTGTGTGTGGGGACAGGAGTCGGGTTAGGGGCTACACTCCACTTACACCTCAAGCTAACTCTGCAGCGAAGACAAACCCATGGTGAGCTGCTGCCTCACTGACCCAGTAGTCAGCCCCTTGCCTCTCAGACGCCATCTCTGCCTGGATCAGAGCAGCGGGAGAACCATGCTCTACATCGGGGTTCTCAAACTGGGGTCGTGACCCCTCAGGGGGTCACGAGGTTATTACGTGGGGGGGTCGTGAGCTGTCAGTCTCCCCCTCCCCCCAACCCTGCTTCGCCTCCGGCATTTTGTAATAGTGTTAAATATAAAAAAAGTGTTTTAAATTTATAAGGGGGGGGGGTGTCACACTCAGAGGCTGGTTGTGTGAAAGGGGTCACCAGTGCAAAAGTTTGAGAATCATTTTGCTCTGCACAGCATAACTTCGCACGTATGGAGCTTGCAAGGTCATGGTGTACGCAGGGCACCATTTTGCTCTTCCAAATGCCATCCTCCATCCTGGAAGGAAATTATTCATTAAAATGGGGTCATGCCAGCAAAAAGTTGGGGAACTGCTGCTTTGCAGTCAACTCCGGCCAGAGTGAGCTGGGAGCAGCAGCATGACGCTGGCCTAGAGAATTCAGCCCATTTATTAAGACAACCAGTTTGCTCCACCTTGCAATGCACGCGCCTTTGCGCCTTTGCCACATAGCTCTGGCTTGTGGACAGTGGAAGAGACTGACTATGGAGCAGACAGCAGCGTTTCACCCCAGCCCCAAGGCAGGGAAATCTGCGCATCTCCCACCAGCCCCCCACCGAGTGTTTACCCAGTGCTCCGCACACCCCCACACTCACATCTTCCGGATCTCTTTGCTGTTGTCTCCCAGGATCTGGAAGAGTCCATCCAGGATCTCCGGCAGGTAATCCAAGAGATTAATGTCAGGCACTGACTCTAGCACCAGGATCTAGCTCAGGGAAGACAAGAAAGTCCTAGTGAGTTTCAGAGAAGACTAGAAGTTAAACAAACCAACCACCCCAGAAGGATGCTTTGGTGCAGGAGCAGTGAAAAAACGGAGGGGCACGTAAACTTGGCGATAGTAGGTGGTACTGTAAAGAGCACGGCTGTCTGAGCTGGGGTGCTGGACTAGATGACCTAACGGGCTCTCCATCGTAAGGGGCAGTGCGGGCCAATGGACTAAGTACCAGGGAACGTGGCAGTTCTCATCCCAGCTCTGTCACTATGTCTTGTGTACTAGTCAATCCACGACACCTGCCCCATCTGTAAAATAGAGGATATTTATCTACCCTCCAGGCACTGGAAGGGCTGTTTGCTCTCTTACTTTGAATGTACAAAGTGCGATGCAAGTTAGGCATGTGCTACGTGTTTTCATTATCTTCTAGGACTCTACAAGTCCATGGCAACAGGAATGCAGAGAGTTAATCAGCCAACAGCTATGGCCAGCTGCAGGAAATAAGCAGGAGTGACTCGACCTTTTAAGGAGCAAGTGAGTTTGAGGACAAGACAAAGTGAACCTCATGCATCTGCATCCGCTAAGTTAGTGCCGGACATGTGCCTAGACGCTATGATGGGCACGCTGAACCCCAGCTGCAGCGCAGCCACCGCTGTTTGATAGCTTTCATCAGGACAAGAGCTCGACAGCCCTGGGCTGCAACCACGTCGCCCCTTGCTCGAGCCTCAGCAGTGGAGCAGACGGCACAAGTGCTGTGCCACGCGCACTTACCCAGGAGATGATGAACTGCCGGGCATACTGGTTGTTGGAATAAATCCTCTCCCGCAGCAGCGGGATGAAACCCACGAGGTCAAACTTGTTACTCTCAGTCACGATGTCCTAGGAAACAAACACCATTGGCAGACGTTAGGGCAGCGGTGGGACTCACCCCACCCCCCGTGCTCAGACCCTACGCACCAGCGCAGGCACCAGCTGGCCACTTCCTAGTTTTAGCAAGTTGGGGGCTGAACATGTTTTAGAAAGTGAAAAGTCACCCACAGTGGATGGGGCTCAAACCAGCCAATTCTAGGCCCGGGCGAGGACTCTCAGCTATTGGTCCCCGACCCAAAGGGCCACAGGGTGTGTCCTAACTGGTCAGCGAATCAGGCATCCTCCCTCTGGCAGTGGCCAGTACTGAGGTTTCAGAAACCGGTGAAGACTCACTCCCCACAATGCACCAGTCCGATTGCACAACCCTGAACATGGAAGCGGGGGGGGGGATTTCCTTGATTCACGCACTGACCAGCTCATGCCCCACAGCATGTGATTGAAACATCCTGATATGTAACGAGAAGTGTCCCTAGTCCTTTTTAGGGCTCACCTACACTGTATGACTGATCTCCTGCAACAGTGAATCCCTCTGCTCCAGTCTTATGGCACAGTGGACAGGAGTGTGAGAGCAGGGCTGGACTCTCCCACAGTGACCCGCTGCCACCTCCCCAGCAGGGATCTCTGCACCATGCCAAGCGCTGGGCTGGCATTTGGGAGCAGGGAAGGGAGCGGGCAAGGGGCCTGTTAGTCCTATGAGTGAGGAGGAGGAGGAGGAAATAGGAGCAGGAAACATTTGGAGGTTTGGGCAGGTAAGAACCACACTGTGTATAGATCAGGAAATGGAATTAATGGCTCCTACAAGAGACAGCAGCTTCTGCTCTTCAGACAGAGCAGTCCAGCTCACCTGCCTAAACAAGGAACCCAGACGAGAGACAAAAAAAGGTAGAGACCCCACTCTGTACCTGGTGAGGGAGATGCGACCTACCGATCGCACTGGAGCCTTCCCCTGGGGCAACATGGTGGGGACAGGTACTCCAATAAGCTTTTCATTAACATTCACCCATTGCTGTGTTAAAGGCAACTCCTCCCCGCCCCCAGTCATACTTCACGTGTATGTAGCCTTAGCATTGAGATGGCCAGCAAAGCAACATCTCATTCCACCAGAGCAGCAGCCAATAGGAAAGAGAGCAAGTTCCACAGCCACAGGATGAAGCTGTGATGGTATTGGCTGGTACAGCCTCCTGGAAATGTAACCAATGTATAACTCTGTCCTCCTTCCGCCCCCACAAGGGCCTTCTGACACGGGTCCCTAGGATAGTCAGCTAAAAGAAGGGAAATGGGAATTACCTTGAGAAGTCGGTCCAGTAGTTCAGAGCCGCTTTTCACATTTGGGTCTGGATCAGCGGCAAGCTGCAAGTTACAAAAACAAAAATGCCATCGCAGGTTCCAGAGAGAAAGACAGACACACACCAGTGTATTTGTGCTGGGTTCCTAGCAATGCCCAAGGTCATTAGCCATGAGAAGACATCCCTGACACTTGCACAGGTTAAATCAATGTCATTGCTTGCCAGCTGTTTCCTTTCAGACTAGAAGTTGAATGAGTTTCCAGGAAGGTGCTGGGGAGATGGTTGCATGGGGCAGAGCTGGGTTCACAACACCCTGAATGGAAGGTGTGCCCCAGGCAAGAGAAGGTGGACAGACACTCAGCCTGATCCGAAATGCCTGAACACCACTTCCCAGCTGCACCTTCAGCTCAGCTCTCTTCTCACAACCACAGTGAGCAAGGGACAGACACGGCGAGGGTAGCAGCCTAAGCCTTCTGCAGACATTCCTACAACAGCAGGGCCGAGTGGGCCCAAAGCCAAAGCCAAGCGTGCCCGCACCCTGCTATGCAGCAGGAGGGATCTGCACCGGTGGCCCCTTTAGTAGGTGACAGGTGAGGGCTCCCACTCTGCACCTTCATGGGGGACGGAAGGCGGACACAGGGGAAAAGCCACTTACCTTACTCAGGCCATCAAACAGCACATTGAAGTGTGGGAGGACGGAGCCCCTGGCCACCTTGACGATGTTATATAGGGCCTCGCAGGCATAGTACCGTAGTCGGCTGTCAGCATCGTTGAAGCACGTCAGCACTGGCTCAATCAGCTCCTTCAGGTACAGCCCAGAATCCTGATGGCAGAACCAGGCTGGGGGTTAGGGCCAGTCCCCACTCAGGGTCGGAACAGACTGACCTCTAGCAGTGCACGCGATACAACAGAGCACTGGGACATGACCACAGGTGGCAGTGCCACGAGGCATCGCCTCCTTTGCGTGCATTGGCTCGTACATCAGATCATACCAAGCGAGCCTGTACCATCTCACCATGGCGCCAGATTCACAGGGAGCCATCAGATTAGTATTGTGAATGCCCCTGGAGGATTGCAGGCCTCGTGCTGCAAGTGCCGGCACAGGAACGGAGATCATTGCATTCTAGCTCCCTGACAACGCCACGATCATCATTATGATGTATCCATGGAGAGACAACAGGTCGTTAAGACTTCTTTGGAACAGTGATAATCCCATTCCTGAAACCAGAGACTTCAAAACACATTCGTCCCATCACAGGAGATCACGTGGCTGAAACCGGATAGCGACAGTGTTTGGGACTACACTTAGCCCAGGCTTATAACAAAAACTAGGCCTCCGAGGGAAATGTGACCGCATGGGGTACTACCCCCAGCTCTTGGACCCTCATGCATTGCTATGGGGTGTCAGTATCGGATTAGAATAGGACCATATGAATCCTTGTTGCAACCACTGTTCTATATTTGCAGCAAATCTTGTACAAAAGTTGTCGAGTGTGGTGTCTATGAAAAGGTTACATTTTGCTGGTTATGATTATGCTATCTGTATGCATGTATCATTTTTGTATGTGAAGTTATAAGTATTGGAATATCCACCAGCTTTATGGGGATTGTCTGCCCCATTCTTTGCAGTTCACCCTAATTGAACAACCATAGTTATCCCCCACTGGGACACCAGTCACAGCCAGATATGCCATGTAAGATATCTGCAAAAATGTCAATTTGCTAGATATGAACCTTGTTTATGTTTGTATCACCTGTGCATTAGGGGTTATAGACATGTATGTACGCCTGTATTTCAAACCTGTGCTGTGCTTCTGGGTGAGGACACCCCTAGACAGTTTGGCATCAGCACTATCTAGCCTGCTTGACGGCCCATTTGTGATGTTGCACTCCATATGTTTTATGGAAATATGCTTATGAATAGGACATAACTGGAATATGCTTTATGCTAAATACCCCCTGTATGGTGTCATTAGAAATCTTGTAATCTACTAAGTGTGTTCATCCTATTTGTTCGCATGTCTTATTTCTATATCTGGAGTTAGGAGAATAAGATATAAACTTGTATCACTGATGTAAACATATTAAGTGGAGGCCATTAAGGGTGCTCCAGAAACAATCAGTTGTAAATGGCCTTAGTTACTTGAAAGCCTTCCTATGTATGGGCCAGCTCATGGTGAATGGAGACTAGGGGTATTACAGTGACATGTGACCATGTCACCTGATACTGGAATCCATCTTAAATCTGGTACTTTTCCATTTAGAAGGAGGAGGTGGGATCCAGAGAGACAAAAGATTCCCGCCTTGTGCCAAAGCTATAAAAGAGGGTGGAGCAGGACAAAGGGGGCTGCCAGTCACAAGAAAACCCCTGCTTACTACCTGAGATGTCTGCTGGATCTAAGAAAGACTGTACCAGGGGAAAGGATTGGGCCCAGACTAGGAAGGAGTCTAGTCTGTGAAAGAAGCTTATTGGAACATCTCTGAGGGTGAGATATTACCTGTAATCAGTTTCATAATGTATTAGGCTTAGACTTGCATGTTTTGTTTTATTTTGCTTTGTGACTTACTTTGTTCTTTCTGTTATTACTTGAAACAACTTAAATCCTACTTTTTATACTTAATAAAATCACTCTTGTTCATTAATAAACCCAGAGTAAGTGATTAATACCTGGGGGAGCAAACAGCTGTGCATCTCTCTATCAGTGTTATAGAGGGCGGACAATTTATGAATTTACCCTGTAGAAGCTTTATACAGAGTAAAATGGATTTATTTGGGGTTTGGATCCCATTGGGAGATGGGTGTCTGGGTGCTGCAGGCAGGTAACCCGCTGAGCTGTTTTTAGTTCAAGTCTGCAGCTTTGGGGGTGTGGCCCAGATCCTGGGCCTCTTTTGCAGTGGGCTACGACGTGTGATTTTATACAGGGATAGCTTGTCTCTAGAGTGGTATGCTGCGCTGAAATGCAGAACGAAATGCTATAAACAGACTGCCTTACTTTTTCCTTCCTCCCTCATCAAGACATGTTTGATAACGAAATGTGTATCAGATCCAAAGCCCATTGTGACTTCAGCCTGTGGATCAGGTTGTTCATGCACAAACCTCCCTGTTTTACTGAGCCCAAAGCTGGATCCTGCAGCCATTACTCAGTGCTCTCATTGAGGAGAATGGCGTAAAGGACCTAAGGAAAGGGGAACAGACCCTTAATCGGAACAGAAGCCAGTTACGTTTTCCCTTGCACATCAATGTTACAATAAGGTGTCAGTGCAATAGCACAGCACTGGGATGCATGTCTATTTCAGTGACTAAAAGTAGTCTAAACTCTTACTCTGAAGTCCAATGGAAAGATGCAGTGTAAATTGATGCAACGGTTTACGCTTGTCTGTGCAGCCCAACATGGTTTGGGTAAGCCTCTGACTGGGGCTGGCCTCTAGTCTAGCTATGCTTTAGCCTAGTTAAGGGCCTGAGTATGCTACAATAAGCTACCATGTTGTGGGACTGAGTGGTGCAGGGCTGTGTTTTATCATAAGCACATGGCATTAACATGTAATTGATAAACAAAGATTGTTTCCCTGCGGGACTTCCAAAGCCCAGGCAATGCTGACATGTCTACTAAGCTCCCAGACCTGATCCCGCATCTCCAGCATTTGGTGGAGTTCATGGCTTTTGCCTTGAGCATCTCATAAGGAGCAAAGTAACTTCTGCTGCCTCTTCTGAGGTGGACAGAACTCAGTCTCCTTAGACATGGCTTGTCACGTTCCTGTTCAGATCCTTCCCCAGCCCAGCCCCAGTGTTAATTTTTCATTTTCCGCCCAGCAGCCGGAGTTTGCCAGTTACAATTAAATGTTTCCATCAAGCAGCCTGGGCCTACCACAGGGCTAGGATGCACACCCCGTCCTGGGTGCACCGGTGAGCACTGCCTCATGGAGCAGGGCATTGACATCAAGGAGACTGCTGGGGGAGCACTTTCCAGCAGCCTGTAGACCACAGGGAGCAGATGCTCACATGCTACAGTGACAGGCGAAATCGAAGAACTGGGACCCCTACCTTTCCGAGAGCAATGGAGCAGGCTGCCAGGCCGATGAGCCCCCCTTTCCTGCTGTGAGGGTGCTGCGAGAGCGCAAACTCTTGTGACAGGATCTGGATGACGTGCTTGATCTGCGCTGCATTGTTCTGAGCCACGAATTCTCGCACCAACCTAGTAGAGAACAGAGGGGAGGGCAGGAAGCTTTAGCTTCTATATGACAGAATATCTTGGCCTGGCTTCCACAATGCATGAGATGCTAGCCCCAATGACATTTGCCATGGTTTAGAGTCTTGTGCACTGGCTACCAGACTCCCCCAGCCCAGGAAACATGGACAGGACGGGAAGATTCATTACAAAGCACCTCAACTCAAGCCCTCCGGGGAAAGCCAACAACTAAAAACAGGACAGATGAACGAGTAACTGGCTGCTCCTCACTCCTACCCCTCATTTACTCATGTTCCACCTTGAACCGGTCCAATCACTTCATGAGACAGACAAGTGTTCTGCCACCGCAGACTCCTGAAACCGCAGCGTGAACTCAGTTCCTCAGGGGGAACCTCCCTAAGGACAAGTGGCTCATCCCCTCTTCTGGTCCTTCAACTACCCCAAAAATCCCCTGTGCACTGGGCTGGCGCAGGCTCCCTAAAGATCCCCAATGTCTACGCAGCCTTAAACCCGCAAGACTCAACACAAGCATTAACTGCTTTCTACAGTTATCACCCATCTCCCCAAGCCTTCCCAAGAGCAAAAGGACCTGTCCTCCTCCCAACCAACAGAGGAACACCTGTGGCATTTACAAACCACAGAGAGGGGGAGTTATGACCCAGAAAGAGATTAGGAAGAGCATTCAAATGCATCTCACTGTGAGCGTCCTCCTCGCTCCCAAACTCCTTGACGGCTTTGCATTAAAACTTTCAAGGGGGACTCTAAACTGGGCCAAGATCTCATGTGGGATTTTAGGCAATTTAGTTTTGGCCAAATTGAAGGGGTTCGGTCCCATTTTAGACCACGACACCTCCCCAGTCCTTTATAAGAGTCAAATGTAGATTCAGTCAGCTTCACTTACAATTCCTATTATACCAAAAGTACTGCCGGTGTGGCAGTAACTGTGATGCAATGGAGCTCATGGAAAGAAAAATAAGCGTTTGTCACTCACATAACTGCACACATTGTCTTTGCCAAAGGAAAGAGGACATGGCAGGGTTTATGGAAGAACGGTTCAGAATACATGTGGCTCACCAGGAGAATTCTTCCCTGGCATGCAGGAGGCCAGGGTTCAAGTCCCAGTCAGTGCATACATAAGAACAGCCATCTTGAGTCAGACCAATGGTCTGTCTAGCCCAGTGGTTTTCAAACTGCAGGTCGCAACCTAGTCCGGGGTCACAGAATGTCAGGCACTGGGTCGCGCTGGCTCTGGTCTGCGCCGTGGACCGGGCCGTTAAAAGTCCCGGCGGCAGTGCTGCCCGCCTGAGGCAGGCTAGTCCCTACCTGTTCCGACACCGTGCTGCGCCTCGGAAGCGGCCAGCAGCAGGTCCAGCCCCTAGGCGGGGAGCCACAGGGCTCAGCACGCTGCCTGAGCGCAGGTTCCGCACACCCATTGGCTGGTTCCCGGACAATGGGAGCTGGGGGGGTGCCCGTGGGCGAGAGCCATGTAGAGCTGCTGATGCACCTCCGCCATTGGGTGACCGCTGGTTCTTCGGTTATGTGAAGGGGTAAATAACACTTCCCAATTCACTTTCTCCTCACCAGCCATGGTTTTACACAACTCTATCATATCCCCCCTTATTCATCTCTTTTCCAGATTGAATAGTCCCAGTCTTTTTAATCTCTCCGCATACAGAAGCTGTTTCACATCCTGATCATTTTTGTTATCCTTCTCAGTACCTTCTCCGTTTCTAATATGCTTTGAGATGGGGCTACCAGAATTTCACAGTATTCAAGGTGTACGATGGATAAACTTTAAAAATAAAAATAAAAACACCTCACGTCTCCCCCTTTTTTAAGGCACTATTTGCAAATTATTCAATTTCCTGCCATGAAAATAACACTTGAAACCAAAGAGATCTTAGGACTTGCACTCTGGACAGCCATGAGTAGAACCTCAACTCTTTAGAGAAGGTGAACAAAGTTTTCATGTAAAACGTCCCCTCCTTTTCAGAACCCACTACCAAGCTGTGCTTATGGAGTTACTGTACTAGCCTACGATGGACTTAGATCAACATGTTCCTACACACAAAACCCAGTGGAACGGGGCTGAACAGTCACCCAAATCCTCAACGCCGCATCTGCATAAAGGGCTGCAGCAGTATTCTATAGACACCAGACCAACGGAAGGCAAACCTCTTCCTCTCATTAGACCGGTCTCATACTCATTCCCCCTCCACTGCTGCTGATGGGGCTGCATCACTCAGCTGGATAGATCTAATGCTGTAGACTTGGAAGAGGGCTCCAGGCCAAGGTTTCAGGCACCTGCACGGAGAGGTTCAAGCAGCCGAACCGTTGGTGGTGCAGTGGTAGAATTCTCACCTGCTCCAGTACCATCAGTGCAGGATACACGGATAACACCACATGCTGCTCCCACTGGGAAACGGAAACCCAGACTGCCAGCCCGATGGAGCAATAATGAGTGCAGTGACAGGGAGAAATACCAGGGCTTGTCTACACCGGCAAGTTTTGTCGCCAAAAACTGCCTTTTGGCGACAAAACCGCGATAGCGTATATGTTGCAAGGTCATTAAAAAAAAAAAAAAAAGGCGCCTAGATTTGGCGACAAAAAACATCCACCCCTGCGAGAGACTTGTCTTTTCCCCTCCCTTTACTGTCGACAAACAGCCAGGGTAGACACGACAGCGTTTTTCCGATTTTATTGGCCTCCAGAAAGTATCCCACAATTCCCATGCTGCGGCTCTGGTCAGTGGTTTGAACTCTGCTGCCCTGCGGCCAACCCACCCCTCCCCCTTGTAAGCCCCAGGATTTTTAAATCTCATTCCTGTTTGCTGGCTTCCCAGAGGAGCATGGCTGGGTATCGCACCAAACGCACTCCCGCTTGGACCACAGCTGAGCTGTTGGATCCGATCAGTATATGGGGAGGGGAGAGGAGTCTGTTCAGTCGCAGCTGCGAGTGACCAGTAAGAATTGGGACACATATGGGCACATTCCTCAAGGCTTGTGTGAAAAGGGCTGTGATCGGGGGACACAGCAGTGCAGAGTGAAGATAAAGGAGCTGAGGCAGGCGTACCATAAGGCACGGGAGGCAAACCATCACTCCGGCGGTGCACCTAAGATCTGCCGCTTCTATAAGGAGCTGAATGCTACCCTCGGTGGTGACCCCACCTCCATCGCCGATTGCCCCGTGGATACTTTGCATGCAGCTGAAAGAGGGGGTAACCCAGAGGCTGAAATTGTGGATGAAGAAGTGGAGCTAGAAGAGGATGTGGAGTTCCCAGCAGGGTCGCCCGGTGGGGCAGGCAGCCAGGAACTTTTCTCCACTCCAGGAGTTGCTGTGACTTGTGTAGGGAATCGAAAAGTGGGAGGCAGGTAGTGTTTTCTGTGAGCTGGACATTGCCCTGTGTAGCTAATCTGCATAGCTAAGCAGGGTGTCGATGGACATCGAGACCTGCAGGGAATCCTCCAGAGAGAGGCTCTGGAAAGTTTCCAAGAGGTACTTGTTAATCCTCTGCTGCAGATTCCAAGGGATTGCAGCCATGTTAGTTCCCCCATTGTAGGAAACTGTCCCCTGCCATTTAGCAATCGCTGGAGCTGGGACCAAAGCGGCACATAGCTGAGCAGCATATAGACTGGGGCAAAAGCCGCAAGCATTCAGCAGCTGAGCCCTGGTTTCTCTGGTCACCCTCAGCAGCGAGATGTCAGCCAGCAGGTTGGCCTGTGAAAAAGTGTGGGATAATTTTAGAATGAGATCCCTGCTAAGGTGCCCTGCCAGCCAAGACCTTTTTGTCCGTACGCACAACCACCTTCCCCCTTCTCCCGAAACTCACCATGACTGGGGTGCTTGCAGAGCTGTGTGCCTGCATAGAGTCTCAGAGAGAAAGTGATTTCTACCAGCAAAATGCCCTTTTTACTAAAATGTTTCAATCGTTTGCTGGAATGTAACAATCCCTCTTCTGTTCAGCACAGACCTTGAAGAACACACCACGCACTGCAGCAGATGCACAATTCTTTGCCAACCCCACCCCCGCTCTATGCCCACACTGTCCTTTGCACTTCACAGAGTTTCCCCATCACTCCACCCCCTCTCACAGCTTGGACAATGATAGCTGGAGCCACACACACTTGTGAGGTTTTACCCTTTTTAACAATAACTAAAGGCTAAGGTATTTAATGGTACAGCATTTTTATTCTGTGTCCTACAAAAGTGTATAGCAAGCAATTCACTCTCGGGAACAGGTTCCTAAAGCATTGTGTTGCATGGATCTTGGGCCCCAAAATTGTACATGGATGCACCAGGGAAGCACCTCCAAAGCAGACATATGTAACTGCCCCTCATTGTCCAAGTGGTTCCTCGAGGCCTCTCTGATGATAATAGCAGCCCTCTGGGCTCCTCTGACAGCCCTAGCATCTGGCTGTTCAAACTGTGCAGCCAAGCGCTCTGCCTCAGTGCTCCACACCTGAGCAAACATTTCACCCCTAGATTCACACAGATTATGCAAAGTGCAGCACATGGCTATGACCACAGGAATATTATCCTCGGAAAGGTCTAGCCTGCCTTGAGACACCTCCAGCGAGCTTTCAAACAGCCAAAGGCACATTCGACTACCATGCGGCACCTGCTCAGCCTGTTGTTAAAACGCTCCTTGCTGCTGTCCAGGTGCCCTGTGTAAGGTTACATGAGCCAGGGCTGTAAGGGGTAAGCCGGGTCTCCCACGATTACTATGGGCATTTCCACATCCCGCACTGTGATCTCGTGGTCTGGAAAGAAAGTCCCCGCCGACAGCTTTCTGTACAGGCCACTGTTCCTGAAGATGCGTGCGTCATGCACCTTTCCAGACCAGCCTGCATTGATGTCCATGAAACGCCCCCGGTGATCCACAAGCGCCTGCAACACCACGGAGAAGTATCCCTTCCTATCAATGTATTCAGAGGCAAGGTGGTCTGGCGCTAAAATTGGAATGTGTGCGCCATCAATCGCCCCGCCACTATTTTATGCACATTTCCCAGAGTCATGGTCCTCCGCAGCGAGATGTGATTGCCCTGCACACTTGGAGTAATAAAGCCCCAACAGTGGACTTTCCTACTCCATATTGATTTGCGACTGACTGGTAGCAGTCTGGATTCGCCAGCTTCCACACAGCGATTGCAACACGCTTCTCTACCGGAAGGGCCACTCTCAATCTGCTGTCCTTGCGCCGCAGGTCGGGGGAAGGCTGCTTTACGCATCCGCAAGTTCTGTACCCACTGGTCGTCAACCCATACCTGCATGACAATGCGATCCCACCAATCAGTGCTTGTTTCCCTAGCCCAGAAGCGGTGGTCTACCGCAGGGGTCGGCAACCTTTCAGAAGTGGTGTGCCGAGTCTTCATTTATTCACTCTAATTTAAGGTTTCACATGCCAGTAATATATTTTAACGTTTTTAGAAGGTCTCCTTCTATAAGTCTATAATATATAACTAAACTATTGTTGTATGTAAAGTAAATAAAGTTTTTAAAATGTTTAAGAAGCTTCATTTAAAATTAAATTAAAACACAGAGCCCCCCGGACTGGTGGCCAGGGCCCGGGCAGTGTGAGTGCCACTGAAAATCAGCTCGCGTGCCGCCTTTGGCACGCATGCCATAGGTTGCCTACCCCTGGTCTACCGTATGCAGCTCTCTGTGAATGCACAAAGCACTGATAAGTTGCTGCTGAACATTCTGTGATCCCAGGAGAAGAGTCCCTAATAGGGTCATGCATTTGGTTTGTTTTGAGCAGGATTAACATTAGCTCTGGTCTCGTGCATTGGTTTCAATGAAAGCACCTGCCCTCTTTCTGTTCAGGGACACCCTGGACACTCACACGAAGAGAAGAGCTTCCCACAGGGTTTAAACTAGGAATTCCGCTTAGAAATTGCCTTTTTAAATCAAAAGCTTCCCATTCTGTAGGGTAATGCAGTAACTACATCTCCAACGAGGGAGAGGGCTGTTTGTGGCTCAAGCAGCATGAGACCACCAAGCCAGAGTAAGTGTTTTTCCATTTGGATTTAATAACCAGAAAGAATTTATGGGGGGCAGGGGGCAGATCTAAAAGCTTTTCTATATGGGGACTCTCAGGAGAGTTAAGACAAATTAAATGCACTAAGCCTCTGTGTGGATGCTCTCCCTCAGTTTCAAGTTAGGTATGTTTGCACTGCAGCTATGCCACTGTAGTGATGTACTGTAGACACCCACTACCGCAACAGAAGGGGTTTCTCTGCTGCTGTAGTCAATCCATCCCCTCTAGGCCAAGAGAAGAATTCTCCCTTTGACCTAGTGGTCTCTACATCAGGCTGGCTTAACTACGCCTCTGAGAGTTGCGAATCTGAAGTGCCTTCCAAAATCTGAGAGGGATGAGGTGTGGAGCATGCCTTCAGAAGTCTTAAAGAGCAACACACCGATGCGGAAACCACAG